TAGATTTAATTGTTATCGAGAGAAGCTTTTAAATAAATTTGAAATTTCAACCAACTCGCATGATAACAAAGAGTCATTTTAATTGTTGTACTAAAAATAGATTAACAAGAAGGGTTCTACATCTTAGCAATGCATCTCAAAAATTTGATAAACTTTTACTTTGATTTCTAGTACGTGATAAGTTAGACCTAGATTTATTACAAGCCATTATTGCTATTCGATTAAGGGTATTATTAACTTTAACTCGATAAAACACGCAGTCTTAATGTGTTCGATACTCTACACACTACTATATTACTTGATCACGATCCCATTCACTTGCGGATTTTCAAAAGATCAAGTTTTTGCCGCCGTTGTCGGGGACTACTATTTTTGATACATTTAGTTAATTTTAGTTTTAATCTGAATTTTACTATTTTTTAGTTTATTTATTAAAGAAAATTATAATGTTTCTTGCTTCATTTTTCGAGAACGTGTATATGAAGTTTGAGAACCGATGATCTTGCTCAATTTGACCCGGAAATGGAACGAACATTCAACTTTCGAAAAAGACAACAGTTGGAAACATACCAAAAACAAAAGGAGAAAGATATGAAAAAGGGAAATCCAAATTAAATAGTCATAGAGGCTAATCTAGAAGCAGCACAACTGATTGTGGAGGTAGCTAATGAAAATCCAAGGCTAATGGGAGAGTATATGGTTCCACCGGATGCAGAAAACCAATCTACCATAGTATATTTGACGTTTGGTCAGACAAACTTCCACCTCAGGACTGATATAATCAACATGTTCCAAAACGCGTTACAATTCTTTGGGAGAGCTTCGAAGAATCCCAACGCTCATATATCAAGATTTCTGAACAGGTGTGCAACTATTGAGTATCCAGGGATGTCCAGTGAAGCAATCAGACTGAGGCTTTTCCCATACACCTTGAGAGACTCGGCCATAGAGTGGTTAGACACTTGTCCACCTCAAAGCATTACTACATGAAACCAATTGAGTCAGAAATTTCTTAGCAAATATTTTTCACCTAAAAGGATTGCAAAGTTGAGGGACGAGATTACCACATTCCAACAACTGGACTCGGAATGCTATTCAGATGCTTAGGAACGATATAAGGGTTTACTCCGCCAGTACGCACAACATGAACTGCAGAAATGGTTTCAGATGCAGTACTTCTCCATTGGTTTGAATCTGATAAGTAGGGCTAACATAGACTCTGTATGCAATAGTTCTATCACAAAAAGAACTGCGAATCAAGTCTACGAAATCATGGAGGATCTGGCATTTGCCAGTACACTTTGGCCTACTGAAAAGACGAGTGGAAAAAGAACTGTTGGGGTATTCAAAGTTGATTCCTTGACAATAATTTCAGGACAGTTGGCATCATTGGCGCATAAGGTGGATCAGATGAACGTAACCCATGCAATAGGTTTGAAATACAAACATTGTGGAAGGAACCACGAAAGTGTTGATTGTAATGTAGGATCTCCTTTTGTTTAGACAATGGAGGATGTGAACTACAC